TTCTAATAAGTGACTACCTCTATACTCCTATTGCCTTATTTGAGGGATAAGGCCTAATGTGATGGCTAGATCCCAGGCTAGACGCCCCCCTGTCAAAGGGATTTTGGGACCTTTACACGACCCCTGCATATTTGCACGTCGTGAATATCCACATTACTATGATCATGTATACCCGATATAACTATCACAATGCGTTGTGATTCATTGGTATAGTTAGATCCTGAACTTGTTCTATGTTATACCATCTAATGATGTATGTCCTATTATCGTATATGTAAACGCACTCAGGTAAACGTATGTATGTAAACATACTCATGTAAGCGTAATCATGTAAACATATCTATGTAATAGTGTAGTAATGTACTGTAATGTTCTGTGTGTGCTAGCTGTAACGAATGTTCTCTCTCTATCTAGCAAGTATTGACTCATGAATGAACTGAATCATTGTATGTTTCATTGTTCTAGTAATAATAATAGTATCCTCCTGTGCTACCCCTATGGTAACTTACTAGTGATGTACTGGTACGTATGAACATGGAAGTATACCCTTGCTACCCAAGGGTACCGAATGAACTGGAAGGACCTTTTATGACTATATAAGTACACATGATATATAACTAATATTTAAACGACCTTCGGACGGGTACCCGATATCCCACCAGACCACATCTCAAGCGCGAAAAGGAAATAGGGTGGATAGCCTTCGTAAGTCCTTTAAACATTTCTTATATAACTATACATACCTAGACATGCAATTGATAATAAGTAAAACAGAGTTTAAGCAAATGTATTTGATAAGTATAAGAACTTGTAAAACAGTTTGAAGCAAAACAGTTTGATAAACAATTTGAACAATAAGGAAATCACTAGTTTTGTAGTTATTAATCACATGTGATTGATGTAATAACTATAAGTATTTGACTTGTATCCCCCCCCCCTCATATAAGCATTTAAAAACATTTAAACCATTGATTAAGGGGTATGAACTCACTTGTAGTGAGTGGTACGGATGTACTGAAGATGTAGGATTGCTAGGTGTCAAGTAAAGTCTTGAACATACGCTATGATCCTAGTTAACATATAATCACACATATGTATACCCAATTAGATTTAAACTACTAATTGAAATTGTTTAGACCTCCTAGAACATGTTAAACACTTATAATAAGTGTTATTAGCCCTAAGGATTACATCTAAGTTGTTGTAGGACCCGGCTAGTGAGTTTAGGGTTCCAAAGGACCCCATATATGAGTTTACTCTCCAATAAACCTCACACAAGGAGTTTACGGTCGTAAACTCTTGAATTTACGGCCGTAAGCTCCTAAGCTTTATGTCTTTTGGTGTTTTGAAGTTCTAAATGATTCCTAGAAGCATTCCTACTTGGTGTTTTAATCCTAGGAAGGGTTTAGGGCTTAAGTACACTCCTTTGAGGAGTTCACGGCCCCAATGACCAAAACCATAAGAGATTACGGCCGAAATCTCTCTTTGGGATGGTTTTTGATGATTTAAAGTCCTTAAATTAGCTAGTAGCAAATCAAGGTAATTGTCCTAGGCTTTAGGAGTGATTAAAGCACTCTTTGGCCCTTGAGTTTGGAGTTCACGGTCCAAGAACTTCTTGGGCCGTGAACACCTTACTCTTGGTGTTCATGGATGATTTCTAGTCTTATATACACTAACATGTAAGTCTAAGGTGATTACATATCAAGGGGAAGGGACTAGGCATTAATTTACCCTTATAAAAGAGTTTACTCCCCAAGTGTTCATGGGCAGTAAACTCTCGAATCTTGCGGTTTTGATATGAAATCTGTGTTATTAAGCACATTATAAGCCATATAATAGAACTAGAGAGAGTTACTCACGATTTGGGATGAAAACCTGAAGATCCGTGAGAGAGAACTAGTTGGAAATGTAACTAATGAAATAATTTGGTTAAGAATCATATATATAGTCCTGGGATTTTTGGCAGAAAATATTTTTATTCAAGAAATGAACTCTAATATCATAGAGTTCTGAAATAACAGAGTTGTACAAAACCCTAGTGCATCCTCTCTCCTGATATCTCTTTAAGTGTAAATCCTGAATTACTCAAACTTATACTAAAAGTTTGAAAACTTACTGCAACTGTTCCGACTTCTATTGAAGTGATATTGTGTGTACATAATAGAATTTCGGGTTGTCACAAGGTCTTGAAGGTATTTTCAAATCACGTGGTTAATGTTTTTCCATATTTAACACAAATCAACGATTTTGTTTTACCGGATTTTGTACTCAAATTTCGATTGAATTTATCAATTGATTGTGTGAAACGCTGAAGGAGACAAAATGGGGAAGTTTGGCTTACTTGACTTTTAATTTTGACTTATTGGTTGACTTGGTTTTAAAATTATTAAAATCAGTTTTTATATGTGCCATGTGGCATATCTACCTGCTAGTTTAGGTAACAAGACTAAAAGACAGGTTGCTCACAACTTTGTTCCATTATAAAGCCATAAAAAAAGTTAAGTGACTAAAAAGGTAAACCTTAGAAAGTTCATAGGTTGTATGTGTCATTTTCCCTTGCTAAAAAAGATGATGTGGTATTTATTTTTTATTAACCAAATACATATGGGTCGGTTATGGTTTCATCCAAAACCGAACCGAATTAATAATATTAATAAATATTTTTAATATAATATATATTAAATACATGATATGTAATTATATTTGAAATTGAAAAATTAAAAGACAATTATTTGGAATTAAATAGTTTTCAATTAATTATAATTATGATTAACCAATATTAATCATTAACCATAACCGTAAATTAAAAAAAAAAAAAAAAAAAAAGGAAGAAAGAAAGAAAAAAGAACCATAAATTTAAAAGGCAATATTAACCATTAACCAATATAAACACTGAATTGTTTATTTTTTTTTTTATAACAACCTACTTTATGTTTTTCAGTTGGGAAAACTGCAATAAAATCTCTACATATTGGCCTCATAATCGATTTAGCTCTTATATATTTTTCTATTAATTAAGTCCCAAATACCGGTAATCGTATTCAATTTAACCCTATGACCCGGTCAACAGGTCATCAAACTTTCAAAAATTACATTTTCGGCCCAGATTTCAAAATTTATTACAAATTTGGTCCAAAATTTACACTTTTAGCCCAGATTTTAAATTTTTTTACAAATTTGGTCCAAAATTTACCCTTTTTGCCCAAATTTTAGAATTTTATTATGAATTCATCCTAACTTTAGTTTTCTTTACAACTTTTTTTTCTCAAAAGTTTGTTTCTAATGTGTTTTTTCTTTAAAACTCATATTTATATAAAAAAAAACATATTTTCACATAAAATCTTTTCTTTTCTATATAAAAAAAAATTTGTATATGAAATATCTAATTATAAAAATAGGTTTGGATTATTTGTGTGATTTCTCTTAAAAAATCAATTAAGAAATCAAAAGTAACCCTAAATTATACTATTAAATTATAGTTTGTCAAAAACTAGTTACACTAATTTTAATATTATTTATTTGTTCTTTAATCACATTTATAGAAAAAGTTTAAATAATAGAAGATGCTACATATTGAAAACTTCATATTTTTTCTTTCTCGCTGAATACATGTTCATACATATAGTTCATCATCACTTTGGATTTCTTTATTTAAACTTCTTTGTAAAATTGGATTCATGTGTCAATTTTGTTTGTTGTAATAACAACAAATAACTATCTAGAATGGAGTAATTGTCATTTGTCGATAAGGAGGTTTCTGGCAGAAAAGGGCATTTAACAAATGTAAAAAAAGTATTACAAACGTTGATAATTACAACTCCTAATGAAATAAATATGAATTGTCATATATGAGATTAGAACAACTTTACATACCTTTTGTCATATATATGTGATCGAAGGTATGATTTAATTTACGAAAATGCAACAGATTGAAATTTCATATAAACAACTATATTAAAATCTCATATAAAAAAGAATACACGCTAAATAGAACACATATTAAAATCTCTATATTAATAGTATAATTTAGCGTTACTAGTGTAACTAGTTTTTGACAAACTATAATTTAATAGTATAATTTAGGGTTACTTTTAATTTCTTAATTGTTTTTTTAAGAGAAATCACACAATAATCCAAACCTATTTTTATAGTTAGATATTTCATATACAAAAAAGTTTTTATATAGAAAAAATAAGATTTTTTTGTGAAAATATATTTTTTTTTTTGTATAAATATGAGTTTTAAAGAAAAAACATATTAGAAACAAACTTTTGAGAAAAAAAGTTGTAAAAAAAACTAAAGTTATGATGAATTCATAATAAAATTCTAAAATTTGGGAAAAAAGGGTAAAATTTGGACAAAATTTGTAAAAAAAATTTAAAATTTGGGCCAAAAATGTAAATTTTGGACCAAATTTGTAATAAATTTTGAAATATGGGCCGAAAATGTAATTTTTGAAAGTTGGATGACTTGTTGACTGGGTCAAAGGGTTAAATTGAATACGATTACCGGTATTTGGAACTTAATTGAATAAAATATATATATATATATATATATATATATATATATATATATATATATATATATATATAATGACTAAATCGATTATAAGGTCAATATGTAGGGACTTTATTGTAGTTTTTCCTTTTCAGTTGTATAGTAAAGTATTTTTTTTAATTTAATTGTATTTTCGATAATTATGATTAACCGATATTATCATTAATCACAACCATTAACCGAAAAAAATCTTTAATCAAAATTAATATTAATTAATACCCAATTGCTACCAAAATACATCAACAACAATTATGATTGGTTTTTAGCTAAAAGGGAATGGAGTGGTGCTCACCCCTACCCCTAGCTGTAAGATATTTTAACCGTTTCAAAGTATTTGAGTTTGGGGAGTGTAAAGGTTTTACTAGTATAGTGAGAAAAGTGACAAACTCTACATACTTTAGGGATGCAAATTGTTTCTAGTTTTCTCCTTCTCCAGATTTAAACGTACGAATACGTTTCCTGAGCTACTGACCACATAGAGAACTACACAGAGATTTCCTCTTCAGGCTCTTAAAGCATTCGATTTGTGGCTTTTTCTAAGGTTTCAACCTAATGTCGGGAGAATACGATGGGAGGCGGATGCGGAGGCGACGGTAGTGATGGTGGCGGGGCCGTCACCGCTGTTACCATTAACGTAAGTTGTACTGACGGCACGAAGTTCACCGTTCAGGTGAGCCTCGACTCGTCTGTTCAATCCTTCAAGTCTCTGCTTGCAAAAACATGTGACATCCCTGCGGAAGAGCAGCGTTTGATTTATAAAGGCGGCATTCTCAAAGACGATCAGACTCTAAAGAGCTATGGTATTCTACTTCAACCATATCTGATCATATGTTTACAAACACCATATAAAATGATTCGGTTGCTATGATAATAGGTCTTATTTATGAAATGTTTGGTTTATTGATGTTATGAATGTGATATAATATTTTTTCAACTGTAGTTGTATGATTTCCGATTGTGATCCACAGGTTTGGAGGCAGAGCACACTGTTCATTTGGTTCGTCGTGTTCTACCTGATGCATCCGATAACACAGCTGAAGAGGGAACAAGGGGTGGATCTGGTGGTTTACCAGCTTATGCAATTGATTTGAGTGGATTTCCAGAGTTTGAACAAATGCAGCATGAGTTTATTCAGAACCCAGACATGATTGTGGAAACTATTCATCAGCCTTTTGCTCAGATCATGATGAGTTATCCAGATGTTATGCGCAACATTTTGTTGAGCGACCCTATATCGCGTCAAGTTATTGATAGGGATCCAGACCTTGCTAGCATACTCTATGATCCTTCCATCTTCAGTCAGATGACAGAGATTCTAAGACACACAAGCGTTGAATTCATACGTAATCTTATACGCATTGCAGAAGGAGCTGGTGGTGGCGACGGCGGTAGTAGTGATGGTGGAGACGGCGGTAGTAGTGGTGGTGCTACTCAAACGCATCCTGCTGTGATTGTTTCACATAATGTGCAGGATATGAATCAGGTTTTTGCTTCTTCTTTTTTCTTCATTATCCTTCGATTTAGTTGTTTGTTGGGGTTTGAATGCTTACATAGTTCACTGATTAGATGTCTGGCGTAAATGCAAATGCAAATCCAATCGCAGAGATGCGCAATCCCCAAATGAATTCAGAAGAGAACATTGAGGTACATTAGCTTTTTACTATACTATATGTATCTTTTCTCAATACGATTGCATTTTTTTTTTATTATTAAATTTATATTATTTCGAATCAAGTTCAAGTGTTCAACATATAAGTAGACATATTATTTTTATGATAATGCTGCAAAACTCTTGTATTACAGCAATCTCTTTTCTCCCAACTTGGTCAGCAACAAAGCACAAGGTAAATTAGGTCAAACTTTTGTTCCATGATAATTCATAGGAAATAAAATAAATAAAAATCATATTAGTTGGTGTTGAATGTAAAGTTTGGATTTTTGTATGCAGGATGGGTGTGAGTCAAACAAGTGGAGGAACAGGTACGTCGTTTTCCAATAACTTCATATAATCATATTTGGTTGCTTTTCCTTATTTATTTATTTATCAAATTTGGTTTCTATTTATTTATTTATCAAATTTGGTTTCCATTTCATGGTTTCATAATCCCCATTTGTTCTCAAGACCAACACTGTGTGCTTTACTATGCTATGTCATGGTAAAATGACTATATTGCCCCACAATCTGCTCCTCATTACTACCCAATTTCCTTTTCTTGTTAATTTCATGAAGTACCTAAGATGAAAATTGCAAGAAAATAAAAATAAAAAATAAAATAAAACTTACCCTGAAGATTTGTGTGGGCATAATTAATTAATTGAAGAATGTTAAAACAAGGGTGAAATGGTAAATTAATAATGTTTTTTTTTATTGACTTGTGACAAACATTGATAGTCAACGAGCAAAAAGGAGTTTTTGTGCATAACAGGGTTACTGAAAAAAACTATTTAGTGTGTTTTCTAAAATATTTATATTACGGAAGTGATTTTTTCCACTTTGACTTTTGTTTAGTCCATTGAAAATTCATGAGTTGTCAATATTGCCCATAATTTAAATTTTTAGATATAAAAAAGAAAAGATATCTTTCTAGCTAAAATCTTGTAAATTTTCGTTTTTTACTCACAAATTAGTTCCTTTGAAATTATGTATGTAAATTTATTTTTTCAATCTTTTCAATATTTACACCGTTATTATTTTATGTTTAATTGTTTTACGAACGAAACCATCCATATTTATTTAATACTTAATTTATTTATTTTGCTTTTTCGATATTTTTATACCATCAACTCTTTTTTTAAGAGGTGTTAGCAAATAAAACTATTACAAAATTAGTTGCTTAGTAAAAGAATGAACATATATAAAATCACAAATATAATATCGTCCAACAAAAAATATTTTAAACTAATGAGTATCAAAAAAATTTCTTCAATCGGGTATCTTCAACACACTTTCCAACAATAAGGTGGTGTTTGTTTTTGAAGATGTAAATGTATTTGGTCTTTTTAAATGTTGGTGAAATAAAATATGGAACAAAAGTGTTTTTATTTCCATTTCTTTAGTCTTCATAAACAATTGTTTGTTTTTTAAAGTCTTCATAAAAAAACCCGGCGGTGTTGGTGGAAGCGGCGGAAGTGGTGGTGGATGCAGCACAAGTAGTGGTGGTGGTGGTGGAGGTAGGGGAGGTGGGGGTGGTATAGGAGAAGGTGGAGGTAGAGGTGGCGACAGAGGTGTAAGGAGTGACGGCAACGACGGTGGAGGTGGTGGTGGCAACCGTGAGGGTGATAGCAGTGATGACAACATTAGTAGGGGAACAAGAAATATCACAAAGAGTTATAATTAAAAAAATTAAAAAAATTAAAAAAAAAAAAAAAAACTTTAAAAATCAAGAGCTATTTTTTATTTTATTTGAAAAGGATCTCAAAAAGTCTTTTTTTATGTCCAATATCTTCTGAAAAAATGAAGATTTTTTTTTTCTCAAATGTTTTTCCGCCAGTAGACATAAAAGGTTAAAAAAAAATTACCAAAAATTAAACAACACCTAAGTGATCTTTTATATGTCATTATGTTTAATTTATGATGGCTAAAATTTGATGATCAAAGGTTTGTATAAGAAAAATAGATATTTAAAATAAAAAAACAGTAAAAAAAGATTAAATAAAAACTGTTAGTTTAAAAAAATAATAATAACAAAACATTAAAAAGTTGAAACAAAGGAGAATGGAAGAAAAAATAGGATATTTAAACTAAAAAAACATTAAGAAAAATTGAAAAGTAAACGAATATAAAAAGAAATACTAAAATAGCAAATATTTTTAAAAGTATACTAGTTTTTTCAATCACCTTATGGACAAAAAGTCGTAAAAAGGTTATGAAACCTTGGAAAAGGGACCAACATTTATACAACGAATGTCTTTTTGGACCAAATATAACATATGAAAATTCTATGCAACTTTATTTTCAGATAACCTGTTTAATTAATTATCTGACGTGGCACTCGGAGATTTTGCTGACTCACCCTGCCTTGTTGTTTCAGTGGGCCCAGGTGAAGTTGCCGACGGATACTGAAGCCCTGGCACTGGCAGCCACCGAAGGTAACATTCCTGATGCTGTTGACCGCCTACTTGGTGGTCAATAGAAGCTTCCAGACCACACGTGTTATGTGTGTATATATATATATATATATATATATATATATATATATATATATATATATATATATATATATATGACTGTTCTTTTTGGGGATATGATGATTACCAGTAACAAACCCACGTGCTTTTGTTAACATGTAATGTGTCTCATTACATGGTTTTTGAAGCCAGTTTTTTGGGAATTGGATCATGTTGGATGGAACTAATTCTATTAGGCGAGTTAGCGGGTGTTTTGGATGTGTCACAACTCACAATCTTTGATTGTTGCAATTTAGTTTCACTGTATATGTTGGTTGATATTGATTTTGGTTTCCATTTTTTTTTTTTTAAATATTGTGTTGTCATCAAGTAAACGATGGGAAATAAGGTATGTGATATCTATTTATATTTTAACATTTATTTAGGACTATAAAAGTATAAAGTTAGAATGTCAGGGTAGTTTATGACCATCCATGACTTAACTAATTAGAGGACCAAAAATGACGAAATGAGAGAGTTGTAAATTGTAATGTCGTAAGCGTCTAGGGCTTGAGTCTCTCTTTGTGTCAAACGATTTTGAGATAGAATTAGAGATTTGGAAGGCTTATCTCATTTTTCATCAGTTAAAAGACAAGTTAGTTGGATTGATTCTTTATCTACCTCCAAAGGACTCCTTAAGATATTTATTTTTTCCTTATAGATGCTTAATTTGAATTCTATGACTCATAGATGGTGAAATATTCTGGCCATGAACAATTTTGATGGATGAATTGATACTTGCAAAGTGTTATAACTTAGATTATATTACCTTATGAGCATCCATTATACGAAAACCAATTCAATCTTTTCATAAGTTTTGGAACTTAGATAGAATAAATTACTGAGTTGATTGCTTAAAATGTTGTTAATGGAAGTTTGTAGAGTTTAATTAAAAGATAATATTGAAACTATATGTTATTAGTGGATGATCTAATTATTTGAATCTTGTTTTAAATCTATTACTTTATTGTATTATTTCTTAGCCATTAGAGTTATATAAAAGAAATTTAGAAGACAAAATATTTATTTGTTTGTATGAGATACTATTACATTTGGAACCTTTCTTTTGTTGTCTTTATTAAACTATTGCATGTTTTCCAAACTATGTTAGATTATCTAGACTTTTGGACCGATTTGTACTCTAAATAATGATTTTAAATTTTATTAGGGATCATTTTCTGCAAATTAAAACTTTGATTTTCTCTTAATTATTTTTTGGAAAAATGATTTTATAAATTTTAAAAAAGATGGCGTGAAGGCTTCTTTAGGTGACTGTGTGGATTAAAGGCAAATATAATATTTAGAAAAAAAAAAAAATAGATCTAATAACGTAGTAAGCAAATATATAAAAGTTCATGCTTTAATTGGCGCTACCTTCTCCTTTAACTTTTGCTTTCTTCACAAATTTTTACTCGTGTAGAGTAAAAAAACCAAGAAGATGTGTTATCAAACGGACTAAATTATCAGTCGCTCTGCCACAGAACTAAATTACCACCACCATTTCCACCTGAAAAAACATCATATCCATGTTTAAATGTAGGAAAAGTACTACCCATAAATTAATTCAAACTCTAGAATAAAAAACAATAAATGAAGTTAACAAATCAAGAATCTGATGCAAGAAATGATACCCAAGGTTTGATGGCCTAGCAATAGCATACTCATTTGTACCTTTTATTTTTTTTGGATTTTCTAATCATTTAAGGATTAGAATTAGACGACATCCAAGGGAAGAGTGGAAATAAATCAACAACAGCACCTGTCATTAATAAGAAATATTATAATTAGAAAAACAGGCTTATAATTTGTCAATCCGCTATAATATTAGAGTTATTATAGTCAACTAATCACACATATATATACAAAAACAAACACAAACGCTCACATAGAAATTCAAATAGAAAGAGAAATTAAATTGTTTTCTACCTTTTATGCCTATAAATATTTCTACCCACTAATATTATTACAAGTGTCATTTTTTCATATTTTTTTAACTATCTTATTAAAAATATATTAGAAATATATCAAATCAAATTAAATTGAATGTTAGAATGATCACATGTGTCATCATATTAGTGTGTAAGAATATTTATAGGCATAAAAAGTAAGAGATAATTTAATTTCTCTAACAGAAAACATAGCTTTATAAACGGTGATGTTTTTGGAGTTTTAGGCCTGATGTGGAAAAAAATGTTAATATCTTAACCTTGTCCTCTTAAATCCATTATCCATTATCCAATAAGTTAACAAAATATGAGATTTCTTACCAATTTCCTTCTCTATATTTCAACTGTAAACACAAAATCGCATCAACCGATAAAACATTTGCAAGATATACAACCAATAGAAGTACACTGGCTTACACAAATAGACAAACTCCGAAACACATAAAAAAAAATAGTTGTTCTTTTATTACTTGCATCCTACTTTAAGCTCCATAGACAGTACAAACTAATTATTAATTAATAAAGAAATATATACATAAAATCTACCATGCATAATGGCTTACATAAATAGACAAACTCGGAAACACTCTAACTTTTCCTTCCATTTTCTCAAATGTGTTGTCATTACTTTTTCAAATATTTTTTGAGCATTATTTATCCAGATAACACTTTAACCTAATGACAATCAATATGAAAAAAAAAAAAAAAAAAAAAAAAAGGAAAGATAGTCGTAGTCTCAAAAGTAGACTAACCTTGCCCACATCTGATATACATTACAGCTTCCCATGCAGTTTCTTTAGTGAGATAAATCATGTCTAAGTTTGTCCATATGAATGGTAGAATGGAAGGTTGGATAATAATATACCTTCCTACCAGTGTATTTTGCCAAAATACTTGAATGTTGCATGTAAAACGATATAACATGTACCGGTATCGGGCCCCGCTCGGTATACAGATCGGTCAGTCATCGGGCCCCACCCGGTAAGCATATAAACATATAAACATATAAACACATAACACTGCAATAATCACAAAGATACATAGCATACAAAATCGTCATCGGGCCCGCTAGGTAAGAATACGAGCACATAACACATGTAAGTGTAACATCCATAATTTTACACCAAATTTAAACTTTTTCAATCATAAATAAAACCAAATAACATTGTTTACAAAATGTTTTCAAATCATTTTCCATCAGAATGTCCCAAAAATCATAACATAAGGATGAGGAGCGGTACAGTCATGTCTTTGCCTTTCCATGATCTCCTGAAGTACTTGAAACCATAAATTGAAAACTGTAAGCCCGAGGGCTTAGTAAGCTACCCCCAAAATACCAATACCATACTGACAGAAACCATATCAATAACAATCAATCAATTAACATGCATACTGGGCCATCGGCCTGACTGGTCCGCCCTACTGGGCCTACAGTCTATCTGGATCTATCCCGAGCCTTTGGCATGACTAGTCCGCCACGTGGGCCTGCAGTCTCCCCGGACCGCTCATAGCGTATGTTGGCCTTTAACACGAAGCAGGACCGCCTCAACCCAACCGAAAAGCAAATAACTATGTGCGCATAATTATCATATACGTGCATATACAATTATCAAGCATATCTATCTCACTGATCATAACTCATGAAATTCTCTAGAACACTGACCTAGCAGGTTACTAACATACCGATCCCTACAGATCAGAAAAGCATAACATACTGTTTATCCTGATTCCAATCAAGCAGATCATAATCACATGTAGCATACCATAACTATAACAACTAAAGGGTCGGCCTTGGTGCCGTAGACCCTATCGATATACTGAGGATAACTCACCTCGCAGATGTCGACTCGGAAGGTAAACTCAATCTCTCGGATCACTCGACACAGGCTCCATCACCTATAATCATAGTTCAACATTCTCATAAGTCCTTAACCTTATAAGGTACTCCATAACCCAAAAGTCAACCCCTGATCAAGGTTAAAGTCCTCATTCAAGGTCAACAGTCCATGTTGACCTCAACTCGCCGAGTACACCCAAACTACTCATCGAGTCCCCTGAAGCACAATCCAACTCGCCGAGTCATCGAGGTGACTCATCGAGTTCCTTCGAATCCCGATCAAACCTTAAGGCCACCCGTCGAGTTCCTTCCTTGAAACTCGATGGAGATACCCGCGAACATGTTCTTGGTTAAAACTCATCCAACTCGCTGAGTTGTTCTTCAACTGGTCGAGTCTTATGGCAATATTCATCGGACTCGCCGAGTTGTTCATCCAACTCGTCAAGTTCATGGCCATCTTCATGCGACTCGCCGAGTCCATTCAATCATCTTTTCATACAGATCCATTTTGAGCCATGCAGCGGCTCCAAATCACAGATCCAAGCTTCTAGGGCATGCTTATCACGCGAAGTTGCAAACTTTACGTGCATGCATGGCTTTAAAGGCTCAAAATGGTAAATCTAAGCTATTGAAGGGCCTTTATGCACAAAGGGGACCTCAATCACGACTAAAGCTGCAACTTTATGCTTCTAGAATCCAAAGAGAGTCTAGATCTGAAGTTACAACTTCAGATCTAGTCCATAGCTCATCATACCAACTTGATATTCCATGAAAACCCTAAAACTCACCCAATAAGGGAGATCTACATAGAGAAAGACGGATTAGGTACCTTTTGAAGTTGATATCTGAGATGAGTGTTGATTCCCACACTTAAATTGCTTCAATCTCCTTCCCTTCATGTCTTCTCCCTCCAAGAACTCTCTTTCAAGCTTCAAACACACACACACAAGGCACACACACAAGAATAAGGCTCTCAAGGGTTCTTTGGAACTATAATGAGGTCCAAGGGAGGCTAAGGTCCCTTTAAATAGGGCTGCAAACCCCAGGAAATAGGGTTTCAATTGCCAGCTCCTACTCGTCGAGTCCCAATATGGACTCGTCGAGTAGGTCACTTAACCCGGGATCCTTCTCACTGCTACTTGACGAGTAGGTAAACCAAATCGTCGAGTAGGGCCTAATCCAAAAACTCATATTAACAATACC